TTCTCAGATAACATGCTAACTGTATCATGTCATGTTCTCAGTTAACATGCTAAATCATGTAATGTTCTACAGTTAACATGCTAAATCATGTCATGCTCTACAGTTAACATGCTAACTGTGTCAACATATGTTCTAAGATAAAATGCTAGCGTGTCAACATGCCATGTTCTCAGATAACATGCTAACTGTCTCAACATGTAATGCTCATAGCTAACATTCTAACTGCCAACATGTCATGCCCTTGGTTATGCTAACATGTCACACTCTTAGTTAACATGCTAACTCTGTTTTTTAACATTATACTAACAGTCAACATGCTATCAACATGTCCTGCTAACAGCAGTTCTGAGGATTTTAGTGTGTAATGTACATGACAGCGTCACGGGGCCCTAAACGTGACTTGACTTACATATCTGCTTGATTTCAAATCGCTCCCGTTCCTCTGGAAGCGTCTGTCGAGCCGCTGGAACGTTTGGTCCTCAGATGAAACAGTCGTGAGGAAGAGGAGCAGAATAAGATTTCACTCAGCTGGATCATATTAACACGGTTTCACAATCTCGTTTTCTCTGCGGCGAGAAACATTCATCCACAGCAGCGAAGCCAGAGGCCAGAATTACACTGTGACTTATGAATGGCACTGGACCGTGTGTGTGTGTGTGTGTGTGTGTGTGTGTGTGTGTGACGGCTGATTGCAGGTTCACATAAACACAGTCAAATGATATATTTTTCCTTTGGCCTTGATCAATGGAGTAATCACAATAGATTGCAGCTTTTCTCGACCATGTGTCTCTGTGCCTGAAAGGAAACGTCGTGTAATTCCAGAAGAGATTTGAAGGAGAATCCCTGGGACCCGAATATTACTGAATCACATCAGGCAGTGAAAAACAGAAATAACATGAGAAACAGAAATGCTCATTATCTACCACCTCGCCTGACGTTTGATTCCACGAGACACTTCTGGAGTTTCAACAGAAACACAAACCAATCCAATAGAATTGAGGAAAATGGTCACCACTTGTTCAAAGTAAAAATCATTATGTTATTATCATGTCACAAAGTAAATTTCAGCACCGTTTTTACTTTATTAATTCATGTACATTTTCAGTATTTTGACGTAATTTAGAATATGTGGCGTTACTACTTTCAAAGTGTTGTAGAAGTCTCTGCGCTTCCCTTCGTCTTCTTCAGATGGGCGTGTTTCTTCCTTGTCGATTTATGGACGATGCCTCTTCTCTGCATTTATTTTCCTGTGTATTGTGTCCGGCCTACATTAATTGAAACTCTGTTTTTCACCCGAACCTGTGACTCCTGCTCTCCGCTCCTTGACGCTGAATAATCCTCCCACCAGTGCGGCTACGATTTAAGCAGAAGATGAGAGCAGTGAATTGTGGAGACAATTAAGAAAACTTAAAAACCTCCTCATAGAATTCAATCAGCTCTGATCATCGACAACCTTCAGCTAATTTCTTTGTGTTAACAAACCCTCTGCGCGTCACACGAGATTTAAAGTGTTTGATCTAAATGAAATGAAAAAAAGGGGGGAGCTTCTCTGAAACAGAACTTTCAAATCTCTGATGCAAACCCCTGAAATTACTCCAAAACCAAACAGACAGAAACACGTCGCAGCGCTGACAACAAAGTCTTTCTATTTCTGTCGTGTCATGTGTGAGGCTGAAAGTGGAAACAGACTCATTAGGTTGATTTGACTCTCTGCTGCTTCAGATACGGGACAGTGCAGCGAGCCAGCTGGGAGGACAACAAAGAGACGACTCCACGATACAAACTCTGAGCTCTGTCGTTCAAAAGTGGAAAATATTTGTACAGTCACTTGTGATTATACATGTTTTACAATACTCTTTGTCCATTGGGAGATCTTGGTGCTGAAAACAGATGGTGGTGTTCCTCTTCATCCAGGAAATTGCCAGGTCTCAGTTTGATGTGTTCACACCTGAAATACAATCTGTGTCCAGACACATCAGGGAAAAGTTAAAACTATTTATAAAAATGTTTTTTTTTGGCAAAGACTCTTGGGCCAGGCAGTGAAGTAAATGTGGATGTGCTTCAAACTCTTGAAAGTCCAACAGAGGAAATGCTCTTACCTCTTACTCGATCTATAAAATGTTCTAATGAGTTTTGGGCCCTAATCTCAAATTTCAAGTCTTCTTCAATACAGCATGATGTAAATTTTGTAAATTATGGTCCGGTTCACAAACCAATGGGTGACAGATGGTCCCTGCTTTTATCAGACGAACAGATGCACACTGACTTTTTTTTTAAATTAGGCGTTTAATGATTTGGAGGTGTTGTTTGGTTCATGTTCTGATCCAAAACCAATGTTACAGGAAAGAAAGTTTTGAAGGCAGAAGTTTCCTACAAGGTCATCGCCACAATCCAACAACCCTCTCAAAGAAATATTACGGTCAGGTTGTGCTGCAGGATCATAAAGTCTCCTTTATCTTTATGGTCTTCATCCAGAGCCGAGACGCCGGAGGAACACAGCTGCAGCCGTTTCTGTAAGATGGTCGCTCCGGCAGTGACGCCAGGCTCAGTGAAGAGACTGACCAACAAAGAAAACATTATTCTTTACGTGAGGATCACACATAATTTACATAACTGGTTTCACACATGAAACTTCAGGTGTCATGAACTGGCGGAGATCAGACAAATAATAGGAGGGAGAACACAGTGTTTATTAAATCAAACTATTTCCGAAAAAGAATCCAAGACGCTAATAAGTCAGTAAAAATCAGTAAGGGGGAAATACAACCTGTTAAAAACTGAACGACAAATACCAAACAGAACAAAGACTGAGCCAGTCGGCTAAATAGGTTCTGGAGCCACCCAGGTGACACCAACATGACAACGATGGACACGTGAGGATCTTCAGTGTTTCTTTCCTGGTGCGTAAAAAAGTTTATTGTGATGTGAAAGTTACAAACTGAAAAGTGAGAAGTTAATAACTGGAAATCTTTGAGCGCCTAAACAAGTCATTTGAAAATGTCCCTTTCGACAATATAGGAGGTTATCACGGTACATTTTATTTCATCTATATCTATTTAAGCCGATGAACCAGATGATCCAGGAACGTATTGACCATATATTCGAATAAATGTCTCCACGATACAGATTTATCCCCGAAAAGAAAACAATAAAGGCAGAAGCAGAAAGCTGGAAGATATGGTCAATTACAGAGAGAGAGAGAGAGAGAGAGAGAGAGAGAGAGAGCACAGAGACATAAACATGTCCGTCCTCACACAGAGAGGAGGAACCACAGGAGTGAACCTGCAGCAGAGAATCCAACTCCACCAAGTTGCTCCTGTCAGTTTCTGGGCTCGTGGGTCAGAGTCACGCTGCGTCTTCTCACGCCTGATGAACTGACTGTGTCCATGATGGATCCACAGACTGAGCGGCCGTCTGTCATTCAGTCAGTTTGGTCTGTGCTGTCTGAGATCTTTAAAAACTTGTTTAGGGCTGTTTTGGTGTTTGATACAGACGGAGGTGATGACGCTCTTGTTTAATGTAAAGATAAACTGTTGAAAATGATTTTAACCGTTAGTCTTTCTTTATTACTCAGCTGTGTTGTGCATCGTGTTCCTGACAATCTCCACATGCGGCAGCATAACGAAGGAAAACTAACTCACTCAGAACAAAATGGAACCATTGAACTGACTGATCAGACCAATGAGACACAAGGGATCAAATAAAACACTTGAATATGAGCTAATGAAAAGAAACACAAAAATGCAATTTGTCTATAGATTAACCAAACTCAAAATATGTAAATCCCAAAGTTAATGGAATACACCACAGCATCTGCACTACCTGACCCCCCCCCCCCCCCCCCCCCCCCCCCCACCCCACCCCTCGATGTGGCAGACACTTGGTTCAGCCTCATTGGCTCCGCCTGTATTTAACACCATCACTTCCTGGTTCATGTTCTTTTGCCAAATCCAGTCCAGGTGAAGTCAAACCAAGAAACAGCTCCGGTAAAAACAGAGAATTAAAATGTATGTTAACGTAATGTTGAGTTTATATATGCTAACTACACGTGTGTGTTTCAAATAGACCTAATGCACCTAAGCTAGGTATCCCACAAGTATGTTGCATGAGGAGAATTGTTTGTGTAATATGGGGAACGATGAGATTCTATGATAATGACTGAATTTGACTGATCGTTTGAATGACCTGTTGGAAGAGGAGGCACCTACAGCTGATACACTCTGAGCACTTTTAAAACCACGTTAAAAACTAAAGCTCTGTATATCATCATTGGCAAAATGAAAAGTTTTCGGACACTACTTGGTACATTTCTATTTATGTTATTATCACAGGACCGAGACGTATAACAGCGATGTGTGCGATGGGAAATGTTTATCTCACTTATTATGAAGAACTTTTATGTAACATGTAAAAATATGAAATAAATGTGTTTGCTGAAGTTTGTGCTGCTCTGCTCTTATTTCATATTTGAACACCACTGCTCAGTTGTGTCTAATCATTCATGATAAAAAAACTATAAACCTGTTTGATGATATTTTTGATGAGAATTAGAAGAGTAGAATCACCAGAGACAGAACGTACGATACATAGTGATGTACACGGCGTTTCACAATGCACTGTGGGTAATGAGTCCACTATATAGGGTATACAATTGTCAGCTATATCGAGCAATTTCAGATACATCCTTTAATTTAAATAATCCTCTTTAATTTCCTCGTTTTATTTTGGTCTTATAAGATTGAATGATTTTCATTGTTTTTCATCTTTACATGTATAATGGAAATCTTACCTTGTTCTTTTGTTGTCCTGATATGTTTTATTTTGAAAGTCTGAAGCTGAAATGTCCTCTCTCTCTGTCTGTGTTGACCACAGTGTCGGATCTCAGCCTCACACGCCCTCAGCCAGTGTCCTCCCACCGCATGAGGACGATCCGCAGGAGCAGCCACGGTGAGTAGATCCAAACACAGCAGACTTTCACTCTGTGTTCATTTCTCCTGTTAAAAGCTGAGCTCTAGCTCTAGCTCTATCGTGGACCTCTGGGTTTGTTGTGATCGTGTAATTGCTTTTTATTCAGTGATGATAGATTTTCAGCTTCTACTGCAGTTAAATACTTTTCCTGAAATGTTTAAATTCACCGAGCTGCGTGTTTTAATGAGCAGAACAAGGAGCACCATGAATCTTTTAACGGTTCTGCAGACAGGTCTGAACAACCTGTGGTGGGCCGGCCTCAGGAGAGTCATTTGATTAAAAGGCCAAAACACATGATGACGCTATCAGGTACACAACTGAAGACATGTCCCTAACACCCCCTGGTGGTCACTCACATCTGATAACATGAACCAGTGGGAGGCGTTAATTAGTGCGACAGAACGTACAAGGGATATTCACCATCTCGTTCCGTGTTCTGAAATATTTACTGAAGCTACAGAATCTCAGACAAATAACGTGATCAGAGTCTGAAACTTTTCTAAGATCATAGCAGGAGACTCTAACAACCTCAGAGAGGACAGAGTGTCAAACTGGAAGCTTTAAAACAGCAGCTCACTAACAGACGGGGACGTCGAGGTGGTGGACACCTGCTAATGACCTGCTGAAGGAAATGTCGTCTTGTTTTGGGAACAGCGAAACTGAAACAGGTCACAGCTCTCAGGTTGTTGGATCTGAGAGTTTCCTGCGTGTTTGGCTGTGACTCGTTTGGCTTCCTGCTGTCACTGATCTGCTGTGTTGTTGTGTGAATCAGCGCCCAGACTCCATAAACCATATTATCTGTTTTGTGCACATCTAACATTATTACAACACTGCGTGTGTGTGCGTGTGTGCGTGTGTGTGCGTGTGCGTGTGCGTGTGCGTGTGCGTGTGTGTGTGTGATTAAGAAGACGGGATGTGAATCTGAGGTTCTTAGTTTTGGAAATGAGTTCATTATGTTGTGAGTCCTGAAAATATCTGAGAAACACCTCGTTGTCAAGGTAACAGCAACGGACACACAAGATTTTCGTACACACAGAACAGATCTGTGTGGTCCATAACGTTTTTACTGTCCACGCAGAGCGTCAGACCTCATAGTGTCACATGATTATATAACATGAGCTCTGATTTTCCTTCCTTTGCTAACTTAGCTTGTGAAGCTAACAGATAACAGAATCGGTTCCTCAGGTTTTAAGAGAAACGTTGAGATGCAACGACACAGAAATCTCTGTAACGTAATAAAGTGTGTTTGTTCACAGCATGTGAACATTTTATCTTGACGAGGATATGCAGAGATGTTTTTGTGCAGGTTGTGATTAAGTCGATGATAATATTAACCTGCAGTCAGCTGAGAAAAGTCCTCCTGGACAAACAGCGGGATAGTGCACTCTCTTCTTTTCCTCTGTCTCCTCCAATTTCTGTTCTGCTGCTTCATCCCTTTTTTTCCTATTCAGTCTTCTATCACTCTATCTCAGTCTTTGCTCCCAGAGGGGTTGAGTGGGCAGATTTTCTCCTCCTCAGCTCCCCCCTCCACTCGAGCTGGTGTTGGGGGCTGAAGTAGACAAAATCTAAAATGCTGGAAATAGGTTTTTTGATGTGCTGGTTTTGGGCACAGACGTTAAATGAAACATAAACCTGTGATGTTGCTGCAGAAGCTTTAATTATTACACATCTCCACAGTGTGAAGACTGAAACAAAGATCCCACAAGAAATTCATTTTCAGGGCAAAGTGGTTAAATCATGACGTGTCACTTTTTCCTGTGCTGCGTTCAGCACAAACACCATGTGCATTGCTTTATTTGGTTGCCATGGCAACGCCATGATGCTATTACTAGCAGGATCAGCACCTTCAGGCACAGTACTACAGTACCTCACACAGTACTCCACAGTACTACAGTACCTCACACAGTACTCCACAGTACTACAGTACTCCAAGGTACTACATTACATCACACAGTACTCCACAGTACTACAGTACTCCACAGTACTCCACAGTACTACAGTACTTCACACAGTACTMMA